GGCATCGTCGTTTCATCTATGCATTTCTATTTGTTATATAACAACAGTTTTTACACTTTACTTTGGCCAGAATATTCCTAAGTTAGTGAATAACAACTGGATATTAGCCAATTAACTTTTTGCGAATATTCTCTTTGTATAACAAAGTCTGAATATGTATTGACACTGGAGGAGGAATCCGATGAGCTATGAAGCTCTTTTTCACAGATGTCCAGTAGGAGCACGGGGTCAGAACGCTAGAACAACAAAGTGAAAAAAAACATGACAGTATATATATAGTTACGTGTATATAGTATCCAAGTGTACGTACGCATGTTAAACCGCTTTCACGCCACACATAGCCGAGCGTGCTAATCGGCTGCAGACACGCGAGCGTGTTGTACACACACACACAGGTACACACACACACAGGTACACACACACACACACAGAGGTACACACACACAATGTACACACACAGCAGTGTGTACACACACACACAGGGTACACACACACACAGGTACACACACACACAGGTACACACACACAGGTACACACACACATGTACACACACACAGGTACACACACAGGTACACACACACAGGTACACACACACACAGGTACACACACAGGTACACACACACAGGTACACACACACACACAGGTACACACACACAGGTACACACACACACAGGTACACACACACACAGGTACACACACACACACAGGTACACACACACACAGGTACACACACACACACACAGGTACACACACACACACAGGTACACACACACACACACACAGGTACACACACACACACAGGTACACACACACACAGGTACACACACACACACAGGTACACACACACACAGGTACACACACACAGGTACACACACACACACAGGTACACACACAGGTACACACAGGTACACACAGGTACACACACACACAGGTACACACAGGTACACACACAGGTACACACACACGCACAGGTACACATACACAGGTACACACACACACAGGTACACACACAGGTACACAGGTACACACACACCAGGTACACACACACACGTAGACTTTGGCGACCAATATTATCCATAAGGGGATTGTTTTGGGATTAGATCGCGCAAATATAAAACACGCGACCTCTACGATGGTTGTACATCCGTCGCATGCTGTAGCTGGGGGGGGGGGGGGGGGGTGACACGCTGGTGTTCGCCTGTGAGGCAGTGCTCTGGAGGCCGGGATTGGTGGATCACGCAGAGATTCGTCAAACTCCCAACCCACTGGGGCTGCGAGGCGCCCTGGAGATGGGCAGTCCACAAAGTGGTCTCTGGAATCCATCACGTGCAGAAGCTACACAGATTGGCCAAACATCCTCAAGCAGGATGCTCGTTCTACAGAGTCTTGAAACTCCTTGGGGCTTTCTGGATACATCAGAGGGAATTGTTGCTGATTTTCTGTCCATCTGTTTATCACCCATATGAAGCAAACGAAATGTTGAAGCAGTCTATATAATTCAACGCTTTAAAGCTTGCTACTTATCAAGTCACACACGAGGTGCGTGGTGGAGTGGTAGTAGTGGCGGCAGTGGTTACCGCACAGTAATATTGAACCGGCGAGTTGAGTTCAATTCCCAGCGATGGTCAACATCAGTGACAAGTGACATCTGAACTGGTCCTGCCCCAACCTGTCCCTGGCCAGCACGGCGAGGCGTGGTCAAGCAGGCCGCGTGGCTGACGCGGCATGGGGAGGGCCCTCATCCAGGCAACACCCTTCTCAAAGTGGGTTGACAGAGGACTGTCAATGAGAGTTGTGTCAATGTTCATTAAAAACAATGATCCACATTCTTGTTTGTTTGGGGTAAGGCAACCCGTGGTGGCTTCAATGCCATTATTATTGCCGTCACCCCCCCTCTCACACCCGACAATATTGTCACGAATTGCATAATCATCACGTGGTAGCAGCACGTGACTAAGAACTCGAGTTGTTATTGATACCGCACCACGTGCGCGCGTCCTCCCCCCTCCCCCTCCTCACCTTGTACACGTTGACGGGCATGTCTACGACGATGTAGAAGAGGTCTCCGAGAGCAAGGCTGGCGATGAGGACGCTGGCCTCGTCGCGCATCATCGACTTGTCCCCGTAGACGACGAGCAGCAGCGCCGCGTTGCCGACGCTCCCCACGAGGAAGACGACGCTCGCCACGGCCGCGTTGACGCGCTTGAAGACGTGGCCCACGCCGCTCTGCGCCAGGCACGGGGGCGGCCTCCCGCCAGCTCTGGGTCCCGGTGGGGACGCCGAGAAGGAGGAGAAGGAGGAAGACGGAGGAGGAGGAGAGGACGAGGCCATCGCTGGACTGGTCGCGGGGATGGTCTGGGCGTCTGTCCCCTGGGACTGCTCTAAGGGTGCAAGTGACGGTGGGGTTCCTTGGCCGTGTACCGAGGCCAAGCCGACCAGGGTGGCCAGGCAGAGGCACAAGAAGGTGGACGTGAGCCTCCTAGGGGTGGACATCGTGGTCGAGGTGGCGGTGTGCGTGTGTGTGGTCGCGCTGGGTGTGAACTCGTGTCCACGTGCTCCTCCTGCTGATCCTCCCGGGGCAAAGTTCACTTGGCGTGCAGCTTCCGGGTGAACAATTTTTTTTTTAGAAATATTAACCCCCCCCCCCCACGCTTTCATCTTCTTGGCTCTTTCGGTGAAGTCACGTAGAAGGGAAATAATAAAATAATAAAAAGACAACAATAAAAAAGTATTTTATTATTATTAAATTTTTTTATAATGTAAAGTTTTATTTTTATTCTTTTATTATTTCCCTTCTACGTGACTTTACCGAAAGAACCAAGAAGATGAATCCCTGCAGTCACGAAAACTTTAAATCAACCCCCCCCCCCCCACGCTTTAATTAAATGTTACTGTCCCAGATGCCCCCCCCCGTGCCCCCCCCTTCCCCCATCGCCCCTCCCCCTCCTGCCTTCCCCCCTCCCCCCCCGTGCCCCCCCCCCCTCCCCCCCCGTGCCCCCCCCCCTTCCCCCATCGCCCCTCCCCCTCCTGCCCCCCCCGCCCCTCCCCGTGCCCCCCCCCTCCCCCCCCCCGTGCCCCCCCCTTCCCCCATCGCCCCTCCCCCTCCTGCCTTCCCCCGCCCCTCCCCGTGCCCCCCCCCTCCCCCCCCGTGCCCCCCCCCTTCCCCCATCGCCCCTCCCCCTCCTGCCCCCCCCCGCCCCTCCCCGTGCCCCCCCCCTCCCCCCCCCGTGCCCCCCCCTTCCCCCATCGCCCCTCCCCCTCCTGCCCCCCCCGCCCCTCGGCGCGGCTGCTCTGAGGATTCAACAACAGACGGAGTTTGTTAAATAATAAAAGCGTGTAATAAACGGACAATAGTTTGAGTGTTTTTAAATCCTTTATATTAAGTTCACTTGCTTGAATCTTAATTATGGAGCTTTCGTGACTGCAGGAATTATTCTTTGGTTCTTTCGGTAAAGTCACGTCTAAAGATAAAATAATAAATTAAAATAAAAGCATATTACGACGTTTCGATTGCAACACAAGCAATCATCATCAGGCAAAAAAAGAAATAGCAACAAAAATCTAACTAGAAAACTGCTCGTGTGTCTGTCTACAGTTTTCTAGTTAGATTTTTGTTGCTATTTCTTTTTTTGCCTGATGATGATTGCTTGTGTTGCAATCGAAACGTCGTAATATGCTTTTATTTTAATTTATTATTTTATCTTTAGACGTGACTTAACCGAAAGAACCAAAGAATGCACTTGCTTGCTTGCTTAGGACCGTGCAAATCTTTCGGTCGTTTTTTAACCCACTTCCCGTGATCCAATCGAGCTGACATTTTGCACACAGACTCGTTGTGCGAGACAATTAATGTTCGTTTTTTACACTGTTTAGGGAAAACAAATTCAATATTTAATTACCAATTGCTTAATACTGCAGACAATCATCTGACCCATAGGTGGCAGCCATCTCAAGCCAGAGGACGAGAGGACTCTAGCCGCCACGCATATAAAGGATTTATAGTGAAGAACTTAGTTTTTACGGGTTATACTTGTTGTCAATATAAATAACATGAATTTACATTTAAGCGCGTTTGTAAGTCGGGGTGTTCGTAAGTGGAGGAGTTCATTGACAGACTGACTTGTGGACCGAGGGGGAAGCCCCCCGCCCCCAACAGGAGGGGGGGGTGATGAGCCGGAAGTGAGGGGGGGGATGATGAGCCGGAAGTGAGGGGGGGGGGATGATGATCCGGAAGTGAGGGGGGGGGGGATGATGAGCCGGAAGTGAGGGGGGGGGGGATGATGATCCGGAAGTGAGGGGGGGGGTGATGAGCCGGAAGTGAGGGGGGGGGATGATGAGCCGGAAGTGAGGGGGGGGGGGATGATGAGCCGGAAGTGAGGGGGGGGGGATGATGAGCCGGAAGTGAGGGGGGGGGATGATGAGCCGGAAGTGAGGGGGGGGGGGATGATGAGCCGGAAGTGAGGGGGGTGGGATGATGAGCCGGAAGTGAGGGGGGGGGATGATGAGCCGGAAGTGAGGGGGGGGGATGATGAGCCGGAAGTGAGGGGGGGGGATGATGAGCCGGAAGTGAGGGGGGGGGGGATGATGAGCCGGAAGTGGGGGGGGGGGGATGATGAGCCGGAAGTGAGGGGGGGGGATGATGAGCCGGAAGTGAGGGGGGGGGATGATGAGCCGGAAGTGAGGGGGGGGGGATGATGAGCCGGAAGTGAGGGGGGGGATGATGAGCCGGAAGTGAGGGGGGGGGATGATGAGCCGGAAGTGAGGGGGGGGGATGATGAGCCGGAAGTGAGGGGGGGGGGATGATGAGCCGGAAGTGAGGGGGGGGGGATGATGAGCCGGAAGTGAGGGGGGGGATGATGAGCCGGAAGTGAGGGGGGGGGGGATGATGAGCCGGAAGTGAGGGGGGGGGATGATGAGCCGGAAGTGAGGGGGGAGGGCGGGGGGGTGCAGGGGGGGGGCTGAAGGTGAATGGAGACGAGGCGAGGGGTGAGGGGGGGAGGGGCGCACAGGCGGCGTCTTTGCCAGGTGCTGCTGCTGCTGCTGCTCAAGTCTCTGCACTCGCTGCGGCCTCTCACAACGGATCGTCAGGGACGTCTCGTGCGCTCCTACAGAGGTCTGACCCCACCACCCTCCTCCCCCTCCTCCTCCCCCTCCTCTCTCTCTCTGCGCTCTGTCTCCCACGCTGCCGCTGCCGTCTTTGTCCTGATGTCGAGGGTAAATGGGCGAGATTTAGGACTGTGACTCATGCAGCAGCAATGGCTGCTTTGGGTACGCGGTCCAGACCTCCCCAGAAACCCTGGCTGACAGAGGAGGTGTTCAGGTTAATTGAGAAAAAGCGACAGGCCCACTCTCATCGCCTACAGCATCCCACGTCAGAGAATGAGGAGGTTTACCGCAGCCCTTGCTCGGAGGTTCGGAGAGCCGTGAGGCGCTGCAAGGATGGGTGGTGGTCGCGGGTTGCTGAGGAGATGGAGTCTGCCTCAGTGGCCCGCGATCACAAATCTTGTTAATTCCATCTATCACCGTCATTAGGGGGAAAAACGGTTTGCAGATTTGCTGAGCATTTCTGTGAGGTAGACTGTGTACACAGATACAGTATATAATGTAGACTGTACACACAGATACAGCCTATAATGTAGACTGTACGCACAGAACAGTCTATAATGTAGACTGTGTTCACATATCTACAGTTTATAATGTAGATTGTGTACACATATACAGTCTATAATGTAGACTGTACACATAGATACAGCCTATAATGTTAACTGTTTACATAGAGATACAGTCTTTAATGTAGACTGTACACACAGATACAGTCTACAATGTAGGGTGAATGAGTGGGTGGGTGAGTGGCCGAGTGAGTGGGTGGGTGGGTGAGTGGGATGTGGGTGGGTGAGTTCGTGGGTGAGTGACTGGTGGGTGAGTGACTGGGTGGGTGAGTGACTGAGTGGATGGGAGAGTGACTGAGTGATTGGGTGGGTGAGTGGGTGGGTGAGTGAGTGGATGAGTGGGTGAGTTGGTGGGTGAGTGGGTGGGTGAGAGGGTGGGTGAGTGGGTGGGTGTGTGAGTGGGTGGGTGGGTGAGTGGATGAGTGGGTGAGTTGGTGGGTGAGTGGGTGGGTGAGAGGGTGGGTGAGTGGGTGGGTGGGTGGGTGTGTGAGTGGGTGGGTGAGTGAGTGAGTGAATGAGTGGGTGAGTTGGTGAATGAGTGGGTGAGTTGGTGGGTGAGTGGGTGGGTGAGTGAGTGGATGAGTGGGTGAGTTGGTGGGTGAGTGGGTGAGTGGGTGGGTGGGTGAGTGGATGAGTGGGTGAGTTGGTGGGTGAGTGGGTGGGTGAGAGGGTGGGTGAGTGGGTGGGTGGGTGGGTGTGTGAGTGGGTGGGTGAGTGAGTGAGTGAATGAGTGGGTGAGTTGGTGAATGAGTGGGTGAGTTGGTGGGTGAGTGGGTGGGTGAGTGAGTGGATGAGTGGGTGAGTTGGTGGGTGAGTGGGTGAGTGGGTGGGTGGGTGTGTGAGTGGGTGGGTGAGTGAGTGAGTGAGTGAATGAGTGGGTGAGTTGGTGGATGAGTGGGTGAGTTGGTGGGTGAGTGGGTGGGTGAGTGACTGAGTGGATGAGTGGGTGAGTTGGTGGGTGAGTGGGTGAGTTGGTGGGTGAGTGGGTGGGTGGGTGAGTGAGTGAGTGAGGGGATGAGTGGCTGAGTTGGTTGGTGAGTGACAGTGAGTGGGTGGGTGAGTGACTGTTTTTTACATGGTTAACATCTTTCCAATGATTACTCGAAAGCGATACAAAGACTCCCTGAAGAAGTCCCTCACTGCTTGCTGCATCGATCACCGTCAGTGGGCAACACAAGCAGCTGATCGCAACTCCTGGCGGCACACAGTCCACCAGGCCACCTCCTTCTTCGAAGATACCCGCAGGGCCCGTATGGAGGACAAAAGGAGGAGGAGGAAGAACCATGATCCCTCAGCACCCATCCCAGATGAGACCTATACTTGCAGCTGTTGTGGCAGGACCTGCTTGTCCCGCATAGGCCTCTTCAGCCACCAGCGTGCCTGCAGAAGACGTGGATGTCCTTCCTAGATCTTCGTTCGCGAAGCCAAGGCATGATGATGGGGGTGAGTGGGTGGGTGAGTTGGTGGGTGAGTGGGTGAGAGGGTGGGTGAGTGGGTGGGTGGGTGGGTGAGTGGGTGGGTGAGTGAGTGAGTGAATGAGTGGGTGAGTTGGTGGATGAGTGGGTGAGTTGGTGGGTGAGTGGGTGGGTGAGTGAGTGGATGAGTGGGTGAGTTGGTGGGTGAGTGGGTGGGTGAGTGGGTGGGTGGGTGTGTGAGTGGGTGGGTGAGTGAGTGAGTGAATGAGTGGGTGAGTTGGTGGATGAGTGGGTGAGTTGGTGGGTGAGTGGGTGGGTGAGTGACTGAGTGGATGAGTGGGTGAGTTGGTGGGTGAGTGGGTGAGTTGGTGGGTGAGTGGGTGGGTGGGTGAGTGAGTGAGTGAGGGGATGAGTGGCTGAGTTGGTTGGTGAGTGACAGTGAGTGGGTGGGTGAGTGACTGTTTTTTACATGGTTAACATCTTTCCAATGATTACTCAGTTTGTACTCATCATCACGGTAAAATATTTAACTACACATATTTGTACCATCTTATTTGACAGGTACTATTCTACTTTCCGAGTGTAGACATCCCCCGCGTTTAACAGTACTGCCTTTTTAAATCCTTAATATAAAGTTCACTTGCTTGCTTGCTTGCGTGCTTGCGTGCTTGCTTGCTTGCTTATGACCATGCAAATCTTTCGGTCGTTTTTTAACCCACTTCCCGTGATCCAATCGAGCTGACATTTTGCACACAGACTCGTTGTGCGTGACAATGAATTTTCGTGAAATTTTTTTTCCAAAATTTTACACTGTTTAGGGGAAAAATTTAATATTTAATTACCAATTGCTTAATGGTGGCAGACAATCATCTGACCCATAGGTGGCAGCCATCTCAAGCCAGAGGACGAGAGGACTCTAGCCGCCCGTTTCATGATGACGCAAATGTTGACTAACCACATGGCATGAAATCCCTGCCCCCACGCTGTACACTGGAGACTATTTATAGAGCAGTTACATTGAAGCCGCCAGGTTCTTGAAAGTGGTAAAACGGGTCAACGCTAGTGCCCTCGGGAATATACGGGGCATGTCAAGAGGTGATCTTACATATAAAGGATTTATATTGAAAAACTTTGTTTTTAAGGGTTAATTTTTAAATCCTTTATATTAAGTTCGCTTGCTTGCTTAGGACCGTGCAAATCTTTCGGTCGTTTTTTAACCCACTTCCCATGATCCAACCGAGCTGACATTTTGCACACAGACTCGTTGTGCGTGACAATGCATTTTCGTGAAAAAAAATATCCAAAATTTTACACTGTTTAGGGAATTTTTAAAAAATATTTAATTACAAATTGTTTAATGCTGCCAGACAATCATCTGACCCATAGGTGGCAGCCATCTCAAGCCAGAGGACGAGAGGACTCTAGCCGCTCCGATGCCACGCATATAAAGGATTTATAGTGAAAAACTTTGTTTTTACGGGTTAATTTTTTTGTATTTGGATTGTCAGCCAACACCGGCCGCAACCCCGAGTCGACGTGCACCAATTGTTCTATTGTAGCCCCCCCCCCCCCCCACCGTTCCATTCCCTGGCTACCACATTCAGATAAGCCCCCCCCCCTCCCTCTTAACTTTTATTTAAGAGCTTGTTTCTTGGATTTTTCCTCACTTGATACAGTAAATTTAGCTGTGACGGTCCCATCTGATGACGGAATATTGTGTTGCCTCCTAAAAGTCGTGATTTATTATTTTATTTCAATTTTTTAAATATTTGATTAATATTTTTACCTACGTGACTTTACCGAAATAACCTAAGAGTATGAATCCTTGCAGTCACGAAAGCTTCAAATCTAGAATCAGTTGGAGGCAGTCGCCCTCCAGCAACAAAGGAGGGCAGAGGAGCGACGCTCACAACAACGAGCGGAGCGCCGGGCGTTTAAAGTGCAGCGAGTATTCACAGTAGGGGGCACAGTTGTTGCATCGGCCAGCCATCTGTCAGCCAACCCATGGTAGGTGCCTTGGGTTGACTGCCGAATGGCTGTTGTTGTTGTGAGCGTGTGGACACAACGCTGAGCGAACTCAACTTACGTTACCAAGGTGTCAACCCCTCACTGGGCTGCTGTGTAGCTCTTTGCAGAAGCGACCTGCTTGCCACCACCCCTGGTAGAGCCACACACCAAGTCGTGGCTTATGCGGAACATTTATAGCGAGGGAGAAAGCGAGCTCACTCTGGTACAGGGACTCTTCGACTTACGAACGAGTTAGGTTCCAGAGGTTCTGTGTGTAAGTCCAACTTGACTCCTGTCGATCCAAACGTGGTCTACGGCATGTACACCACACACAGAGAATAGCCTTAAAAGTCGTATAATCTCATGTAGACGTAGATTCCATTGGTTCTTCACGTTCTGCAGATGTAGATGCCACTGGTTCTTCACGTTCTGTAGATGTAGATGCAACTGGTTCTTCACGTTCTGTAGATGTAGATGCCACTGGTTCTTCACGTTCTGTAGATGTAGATGTCATTGGTTCTTCACGTTCTGTAGATGTAGATGCCACTGGTTCTTCACGTTCTGTAGATGTAGATGCAACTGGTTCTTCACGTTCTGTAGATGTAGATGCCACTGGTTCTTCACGTTCTGTAGATGTAGATGTCATTGGTTCTTCACGTTCTGTAGATGTAGATGCCACTGGTTCTTCACGTTTTGCAGATGTAGATGCCATTGGTTCTTCACGTTCTGCAGATGTATATGCCACTGGTTCTTCACGTTCTGTAGATGTAGATGCCACTGGTTCTTCACGTTCTGCACATGTAGATGCCACTGGTTCTTCACGTTCTATAGATGTAGATGCCACTGGTTCTTCACGTTCTATAGATGTAGATGCCACTGGTTCTTCACGTTCTGTAGATGTAGATGCCACTGGTTCTTCACGTTCTATAGATGTAGATGCCACTGGTTCTTCACGTTCTATAGATGTAGATGCCACTGGTTCTTCACGTTCTATAGATGTAGATGCCACTGGTTCTTCACGTTCTGTAGATGTAGATGCCACTGGTTCTTCACGTTCTGTAGATGTAGATGCCACTGGTTCTTCACGTTCTATAGATGTAGATGCCACCACTGTCATCTATTGTGCGTGGAGGTTGAACTTACGACTCGTTCCAAACGGGCAACTGGACAAATGGGACAGGTCTTTTAATTATCTCTAAAAGTCCTGAAGTTGAATGTGTATAAGTACAGTAGTGCCCGTACAAACTCGGGTGAATGTTTCCCCGCAGCGGCGTCGCTGCTTCTGACCGGCGATCACGATGAGCTGGGGCTACCTGACGCAGCTGCTGGATGAGGTTCACCGACACTCCACATTCTTGAGCAAGCTGTGGATCACCATCTTCCTCATCTTCCGCATCGTTCTCACGACGGTCGCCGGAGAATCGATCTACTACGATGAGCAGGGCCAGTTCACGTGCAACACGGCGCAGCCCGGCTGCGAGAACGTCTGTTATGACAGCTTCGCACCGCTCTCCCATGTCCGCTTTTGGGTGTTCCAGATCATCGTCGTTGCCACGCCCACCATCCTGTACCTCGGATTCGCTGTACATCGCATCACCAGGTCCGCAGGTCCCCGGAGGGAGTTTTCACAGTGGGGGGGGGGGGGGGGGGGGGCTACGGTGGAAATTTGAATGGCTTCTCACAGTTTGAAATTGTTTTAAAAATGTTTAGTATTTGGTTGCACCGTCGATTTGGTCCCCTTGACGCCGCTCTCTGTCGTGGTAGGATCGAGTACGAGCGAGACGAACGAACCAAGCGAACCGGCGGCTCCGACCGCATGGTTGAATGCACGGAGAAAGAGGAGGAGGTGGAAGAGGAGGTGGAATGGGAGGTGGAGGAGGGTGAAGAAGACGGCAAGGAGAAGCGACGGCAAGGCAACGAGCGGTGGAGGATTAAGACTGACGGCCTGATGGTAGCCTACACCCTCCAGCTGCTCGCCCGCACGCTGGCCGAGATTGGCTTCCTGCTGGGGCAATACCTGCTCTACGGCTTTGAGGTGGCCCCACGCTTTCAGTGCGTCCGCGACCCCTGCCCGAATCGTGTCGACTGCTTCGTGTCGCGCCCCACGGAGAAGACCATCTTCCTTTTGGTCATGTACACGGTCGCCGGTCTCAGCCTCCTGCTGGAACTGTCCGAGATTTGCTACTTGGGGTTGGGCGCCCTCCACGACTCGCTGAGCGGGAGGTGCTGGCTGCAGAGCAGGTGGGGGGCCTCGCCAGCTAAGCGGTTGGCCACGGTCGGCTACGCGGATGGAGGGGGGGCGCACCACAAATTAAATATGTAACTAATAAGCTTGTGCCGGAGGCCCCGGGGGGACAGGCGTCTATGACGTCTCCTGGCCAAACCCAAACTGGCGGAGCCAGGAGATTGAATCTTCACCCTTGGAGCTCCTCCAGAAACAACGAAAAACCACTTCGTGTGGCCACGTGGAATGTTCGAACGCTCACTGCGGAGGAGAGGCTGCCACTCCTCTGTCGGGAGCTGGACCGGTACCGCCTGGATCTCTGTGGCATTCAGGAGGTCTGGGGGACTGGTTCTGGCTCCTGCCACCATGAGGGGTGGACAGTCCTCTACTCGGGGCAGGAGACTGCCAAACAACAAGGTGTGGCTCTTCTTCTGAACAAAAGAATGAAAGGGGCGTGGGAGCGGGACGGTGAAGAGTGGGAAGCTGTAAGCCCTAGGCTACATTGGGCTCGCTTTCCCATCAACCGTGGTGGTCGTGGTTACTTATGCCCCCACCGAAGACGAACATCCGTGGAGGGATGCAGGCAAAGCCGATGAGCCAGATGCCTTCTATGACCTCCTGTCACAGGTGCTGGCTAAAGTGGCCACTCGGGACAGAGTCATCTTGTTGGGTGACTTGAATGCCCGAGTTGGTCAGGATACTGGCACCTGGTCTGGAGTGATTGGATGGCATGGGTCAGATCAGCTCAATAACACTGGTAGGAGGCTGCTAGATTTTTGTGCAGCCCATGGGCTTGTAATTACCAACACGCTCTTCCGGCATTGGCGCATCCACACAACATCATGGATGCATGCCGGGTCCAAGCAAGAACATCTGCTGGACTACATAGTGACGGACCAGCGGATGCGAGCCCATGTCCTTGACACCAGGACCTACTGTGGAGCTGATCTGTCCTCTGACTAGTCATCTGTAAGATGCGCCTGCCATTCTTCCACTCCGGTGGTTGGGTGCACACCCAGGACCCCATTCCAACCTAAAGTGGCCTGGTCTCAGTTAGCTGATGAAAGTTGGCATCGTCCCCCACTCGTTCTGATGTCGAGGGTAAATGGGCGAGGTTTAGGACTGTGACTCATGCAGCTGCAATGGCTGCTTTGGGTAGGCGGTCAAGACCTCCCCAGAGACCCTGGCTGACAGAGGAGGTGTTCAGGATAGTTGAGAAAAATCGACAGGCCCACTCTCATCGGCTACAGCATCCCACGTCAGAGAATGAGGAGGTTTACCGCAGCCTTCGCTCGGAGGTTCGGAGAGCTATAAGGCGCTGCAAGGATGGGTGGTGGTCGCGGGTTGCTGAGGAGATGGAGTCTGCCTCAGTGGCCCGCGATTACAAATCACTATTTAACTCCATCAAAAAATTAACCTGCAGCGCCACACCGATTACCATAATTAGGGGAAAAAACGGTGATCCAATCTCCGACCCCCAGGAACAGGTTTGCAGATTTGCTGAGCATTTATGTAAGGTCCTGGGGGAGGGGAAATCCCTCAGCCAGGAAAACATCATGGCACAAAGTGGGGATGACCCTGCTGATGCTGCGGTGCCTCAAATATTGGAAGAAGTCACCCTCTGTGAGTGACTGGCTGAGGTGCCATCTGTTGAGGAAGTACTGAAGGCGATCTGGAGTCTGAGACCAGAAAAGGCACCGGGCAGAGATGATCTCCCAACCGAAATGCTGAGGGAGGGTGGCGTTTGTGCACAGACTGCCTTATATGACATCATAACAACAACAGTCTGGACCACTGGACGGGTTCCGCAGGATCGGAAGGATGCCCTGGTGGTCCCCCTCTTTAAGAAGGGGGACCGCACAGATTGTAACAACTACAGGGGCATCTCACTCCTCAGTGTGCCTGGAAAGGTCCTGGCAAGGATTATTCAACATCGCCTTGCCAGGCACGCTGAGGAGAGGCTTGCGGAGCCCCAATGCGGTTTCAGGAAAGGGCGGTCCTGCACAGATGCCATATTTTCTGTCCGTCTGCTACAGCAGAGGAGTAGGGAATTCTAACAAGACCTACATCTCTGCTTTATTGAACTGGTCAAGGCCTATGATACCATCAGTTGGCCTGTGCTCTGGGTTCTTCTTCGTGCTTTCGGAGTCCCTGACCCTCTGCTCACGATCATTAAGGACCTTCATGATGGTGAGCGGGCCCAGGTAAAACTACATGGCCGGGAGTCAGAGCCATTCCCTGTACACCTTGGGGTGCCACATGGATGTCCTCTGGCTCCCACATTATTTAACATATATTTTGACCACGTGGTTCGTGAAGCCTTCAGCAGCTGTACCGGGGGAATTTCCATCTGGTACAGATATAATGGGAGGCTGATTGATGCCCGGGTGCGATCAAGGGATGGCTCCCTATTGGTCAACCACGTTATGTATGCCGATGATTTTGTAATAGCTGCTCATTCAGAGGAGGAGTTGGAGATGCTGCTGCTGAGACTGGAGTGTGCATCTAAGAGGTGGGTCCTTACCATCAGCCCCACCAAAACTAAGCACCTGCCTGGGTATTTTGTACCATCAGACACTCCACCCACACAACTCCCAATCGGTGATGGGGCAGTTGTGGAGAAAGTGGAGAGTTACCCATACCTGGGCAGTGTGCTTATGACCGGCTCCAGTTTAACAGCAGAGGTCTCACTCCGAATCAGTCGAGTGGCAATATCTTTTCATCAGTTTCGTAACGCTGTGTGGAAGCTACCTGGTCTGTCGCTCCGCACGAAGCTTCAGTTCTTCTCGGCCACGGTCATTCCGTCCCTTCTCTACGCTTGCGAAACGTGGACCCCCCTAATGGAGCATCTTTGCCAGTTAGAAACATTTAGGCTGGCCTGCTTAGGATCCATCCACTGGTCATGTAGCCCGCATGCCCAGCCACCGCATGCCGAAACAGCTTTTGTTCAGCCGGATCGAGGGGACTAAATGGGCGCGACATGGGCTAGAGAAGAGATGGAGTGATGTGGTACAGGAGGACGTGGAGCTGAGTGGACTTGCCGATGACCGGTACCAGCGGTGTCAAGATCGGCCTCTGCGGAGGAGGCTCGTGAAGGACGCTACTGGGCAGTTGGAGGCAGTCGCCCTCCAACAACAACGGAGGGCGGAGGAGCGACGCTCACAACAACGAGCGGAGCGCCGGGTGGCTAAAGCACAGCAAGTTGGCACAGTAGGGGGCACAGGTGGTGCATCAGCCAGTCATCTCAGTCAGTCGACCCGTGGCACCTGCTGGGTCTGCCCCGTGACCTCCTGCCAGCAGGCGTTCGACACTTCACGTGATCTCAAGGTGCACATGGCCTGGCACAAGCATCGTGGTGATGTCACCGCCACTTAGTGGCGAATGGCGGTTGTTGTTGTATAGTGTTGCCAGGTGTGTAGCAGTGTAGTGTATAGTGTTGCCAGGTATGTGGTAGTGTAGTGTATAGTGTAGTGTGTAGTGTATAGTGTAGTGTATTTGTTTACAGCTATGAGAGTGGTTCCGTCAGCTTCCCAACCGCTATGTATATAGATGTTGTGTATAGTTTATAGTGTATCATGTAGTGTATGTGTTACCAACTATGTATATAGATGTTGTGTATAGTTTATAGTGTAGTGTGATGTGTTCACAGCAATGTATATAGATGTGTGTGTATAGTTTATAGTGTAGTGTATAGTGTAGTGTGATGTGTTCACAGCAATGTATATAGATGTGTGTGTGATGTGTTCACAGCAATGTATATAGATGTGTGTGTGTGTGTTCACAGCTATCTATATAGATGTGTGTGTATAGTGTAGTGTATAGTGTGTGTGTTCACAGCAGTGTATATAGATGTGTGTGTGTTCACAGCTGTGTATATAGATATGTGTGTGTGTGTGTTCACAGCTGTGTATATAGATGTGTGTATAGTGTAGTGTATAGTGTATGTGTTCACAGCTGTGTATATAGATGTGTGTGTGTGTGTGTTCACAGCTATCTATATAGATGTGTGTGTGTGTGTGACGTAGGTCCGCGGAGGGCAAACAGGCGGCCCACACGACGCTGGAGGCTTCCAGGGTGAAGGTGGCGGTGGCCCGGGGCAGTCGTCGAGCGTCGCTGGCGCCCCCGGGTTACCACTCGGTGCTGGGGGCCTCCTCTGACGGGAAACGGCACCGGGTGAGTTTCGCGAGGAACGCTCACACCGCTCCTCACACATTACGGCGTTGACTATTATTATTCATAATCAAGGTTTTTGGGTTTAGATCGCATTATCCACTATACACTACACACTATACACTACACACTATACACTACACTATACACTACACACTATACACTACACACTATACACTACACACTATACACTACACACTATACACTACACACTATACACTACACACTCTACACTACACACTATACACTACACACTATACACTACACTATACACTACACTATACTACACACTATACACTACACACTATACACTACACACTATACACTACACACTATACACTACACTATCCACTATACACTATACACTACACTATACACTACACTATACACTACACTATACACTACACTATACACTACACTACTATACACTACACTATACACTACACTATACACTACACACTATACACTACACACTATACACTACACACTATACACTAGACACTATACACGACACACTATACACTACACACTATACACTACACTATACACTACACACTATACACTACACACTATACACTACACTATACACTACACACTATACACTACACACTATACACTACACTATACACTACACACTATACACTACACACTACACTATACACTACACACTATACACTACACACTATACACTACACACTATACACTACACACTATACACTACACTATACACTACACACTATACACTACACACTATACACTACACACTATACACTACACACTATACACTACACTACACTATACACTACACTACACTATACACTACACGACACTATACACTACACGACACTATACACTACACACTATACACTACACACTATACACTACACACTATACACTACACACTATACACGACACTATACACGACACTATACACTACACACTATACACTACACACTATACACTACACTATACACCACACTATACACTACACTACACACTATACACTACACACTATACACTACACACTATACACTACACACTATACACTACACACTATACACTACACTATCCACTATACACTACACTACACACTATACACTACACTATACACTACACACTATACACTACACTACACACTATACACTACACACTATACACTATACACTACACACTATACACTACACACTATACACTACACTACACACTATACACTACACTATACACTACACTATACACTACACTATACACTACACACTATACACTACACACTATACACTACACACTATACACTATACACTACACACTATACACTATACACTACACACTATACACTACACACTATACACTACACACTATACACTACACACTACACTATACACTGCACTATACATTATACACGCAATATAACCCATACACATCCTCTACCATGGAGAGTGTATATTTATTGTTGTTAATGAAAACACTCCTCTTGAAATTCGACTCGTTTCCAGGGTGGCAGATCCCGGCGAGCCGGACCCCCCCACGGCAGTTCCAGCAGCAGCGACGATGTCGCCGCGGGAATTGCGTCAGCTCCGTGACGAGTTGCGGGGACTTGAGACGGAGCTGCGGGCGACGCCGAGGCCCCGCCAGGAGCCCCCCGGGCAGAGCGCCGGCGGCGGCACCGGCCGCACGGCTTGGGTTTAGCGCGAGCGAGTGTCACCGTCGCGGCGACCGTCTGTGCTCTTTGTGAAGATCCGAGCGGCGGAGCGCGGGCACCCCGCTCACGCGGCGCACGCGACGGTGTGGGGGGCACGTCGGCACCCAGCCTCGTAGCTCGGGGCATTCGGCTCTGCTGGGTTTGTAACCCCCAGAGTACTGAGAGCAGAGGTCGCAAACGGGGTTTGATTCCTTACCCGATACCCGTACCCGGCCGGGTATCGGGTAGGGTACGGGTACCCGATTGCGACCTCTGAGATGAAGCCATGTTGCAGGCGCGGGTGGGTTGATTCTAGGAACTTGAATTGTGAGAAGAGACAGGACGTTGGAAAATGAGTGACAAACGGTGACTCACCAGTGACTCACGGCTTAACCGTATCCGTACCCGGCCGCACCAGGGTCGCAAACGGCTACCCGTGCCCGGCCGGGTACGGGTAGCCGGGTATCGGGTAGGGTACGGGTATCGGGTACCCGGTTGCGACCTCTGATTGAGAGTCCAATCTCCTTAAAACGCGTTTTTTGTGGCATCGTGGCTTTCGCATTGAGCCAACGTATAAATGCACGAATCGGGGGAGATTTTGATTTAAAGAAACCCACATTTTTATGTTTCTTTAGCTAACTTCTTAATTTGCGTGAGTTTCTGTTTTCATTTTTTCGTTAAATTTCCTCACTCCATCGGTGGATCGGAGGGCCTGAGTTTAGCGGGCGCACGTCGTTATTATACCATAACAGCCGGCTCCCATTTATATTGACAAAACAAACGGCATTTAAGATTTTGGCTATGCGGTTTGTGAACAGCTGTGGCCAAATCTGAACATCAGGTGACGCGGTGTTGTATATATTGTTTTTCTGAAAAGTATAAAATGAAATTGGGAAATCATGTTTAGATATCTCGCGGATAAGAAGAGTCACGCGGTATTCTCATCCTCTTGTTGGCGAGGTTATCTGTCATTTTGCTCCTTTTAGCTGGAAGGTAAAGATTCGCAGATGGCCCCACAGATAATAAGATCAGCAGCTCTGTTGGTGTTCCCCCGTGTCACAGCGGATCACAGCAGTTCTGCATGAATTTTGCGCAGTGTTTGAAAGTTAACCTGGTAACATTCTAAAGAGTTTGTGTCGTTGTAGATATCTCATGATGTCATGTAATTCCATCTCAGTGTAATTAACCCAACGTGACAAGTTGCTATGAGATGTTGACTACCTCGCCTGGTCTACAGGAGGTCGTGGGTTCGATCTCTCTCTCATCATCATCACGGTGGCTATGAGATGTTGACCACCTCGCCTGGTCTACAGGGGGTCGTGGGTTCGATCTCTCTCTCTCATCATCATCACAGTGGCTATGAGATGTTGACTACCTCGCCTGGTCTACAGGAGGTCGTGGGTTCGATCTCTCTCTCATCATCATCACAGTGGCTATGAGATGTTGACCACCTCGCCTGGTCTACAGGAGATCATGGGTTCGATCTCTCTCTCATCATCATCACGGTGGCTATGAGATGTTGACTACCTCGCCTGGTCTACAGGAGGTCGTGGGTTAGATCTCTCTCATCATCATCACGGTGGCTATGAGATGTTGACCACCTCGCCTGGTCTACAGGAGGTCGTGGGTTCGATCTCTCATCATCATCACGGTGGCTATGAGATGTTGACTACCTCGCCTGGTCTACAGGAGGTCGTGGGTTCGATCTCTCTCATCATCACGGTGGCTATGAGATGTTGACCACCTCGCCTGGTCTACAGGAGGTCATGGGTTCGATCTCTCATCATCATCATCACGGTGGCTATGAGATGTTGACCACCTCGCCTGGTCTACAGGAGGTCGTGGGTTCGATCTCTCTCTCATCATCATCACGGTGGCTATGAGATGTTGACTACCTCGCCTGGTCTACAGGAGGTTGTGGGTTCGATCTCTCTCATCATCATCACGGTGGCTATGAGATGTTGACCACCTCGCCTGGTCTACAGGAGGTCGTGGGTTCGATCTCTCATCATCATCATCACGGTGGCTATGAGATGTTGACCACCTCGCCTGGTCTACAGGAGGTCGTGGGTTCGATCTCTCTCTCATCATCACCACGGTGGCTATGAGATGTTGACTACCTCGCCTGGTCTACAGGAGGCCGTGGGTTCGATCTCTCTCTCATCATCACGGTGTCTATGAGATGTTGACCACCTCGCCTGGTCTACAGGAGGCCGTGGGTTCGATCTCTCTCTCTCATCATCACGGTGGCTATGAGATGTTGACCACCTCGCCTGGTCTACAGGAGGTCGTGGGTTCGATCTCTCTCTCATCATCATCACGGTGGCTATGAGACGTTGACCACCTCGCCTGGTCTACAGGAGGTCGTGGGTTCGATCTCTCTCCCATCATCACGGTGGCTATGAGATGTTGACTACCTCGCCTGGTCTACAGGAGGTCGTGGGTTCGATCTCTCTCTCATCATCATCACGGTGGCTATGAGATGTTGACCACCTCGCCTGGTCTACAGGAGGTCGTGGGTTCGATCTCTCTCTCATCATCACAGTGGCTATGAGATGTTGACTACCTCGCCTGATCTACAGGACGTCGTGGGTTCGATCTCTCTCTCATCATCATCACGGTGGCTATGAGACGTTGACCACCTCGCCTGGTCTACAGGACGTCGTGGGTTCGATCTCTCTCATCATCATCACGGTGGCTATGAGATGTTGACTCCCTCGCCTGGTCTACAGGAGGTCGTGGGTTCGATCTCTCTCTCATCATCATCACGGTGGCTATGAGACGTTGACTACCTCGCCTGGTCTACAGGAGGTCGTGGGTTCGATCTCTCTCATCATCATCACGGTGGCTATGAGATGTTGACTACCTCGCCTGGTCTACAGGAGGTCGTGGGTTCGATCTCTCTCATCATCACGGTGGCTATGAGATGTTGACCACCTCGCCTGGTCTACAGGACGTCGTGGGTTCGATCTCTCTCATCATCATCACGGTGGCTATGAGACGTTGACTACCTCGCCTGGTATACAGGAGGTCGTGGGTTCGATCTCTTTCTCATCATCATCACGGTGGCTATGAGATGTTGACCACCTCGCCTGGTCTACAGGAGGTCGTGGGTTCGATCTCTCTCTCATCATCATCACGGTGGCTATGAGATGTTGACCACCTCGCCTGGTCTACAGGAGGTCGTGGGTTCGATCTCTCTCTCATCATCATCACGGTGGCTATGAGATGTTGACTACCTCGCCTGGTTTACAGGAGGTCGTGGGTTCGATCTCTCTCTCATCATCATCACGGTGGCTATGAGATGTTGACTACCTCGCCTGGTCTACAGGAGGCCGTGGGTTCGATCTCTCTCTCATCATCACGGTGGCTATGAGATGTTGACCACCTCGCCTGGTATACAGGAGGTCGTGGGTTCGATCTCTCTCTCATCATCACCACGGTGGCTATGAGATGTTGACCACCTCGCCTGGTCTACAGGAGGTCGTGGGTTCGATCTCTCTCTCATAATCACGGTGGCTATGAGATGTTGACTACCTCGCCTGGTCTACAGGAGGTCGTGGGTTCGATCTCTCTCA